TCATTTACAAACTGATCCATAAAATGAGGGTGATAAAGAAACAAGCAAATGAAAGCACATGTAGACATGTCCTTCTTAAAACTACTGTAGCAGGAAACTGTGAGAACCCTGGACAGACCACTCTTAACATGAAGATAGGAGCAAAAAGCAGCTTTAAATGCTAGCAGCTCAGCGAGTGACTCTTGTCAGTCTCAAGAGCCTTGAATAGAAGTTTGTGCTTCTTTATATACCTGTTTTTCAGATCTATGAAGCTTAATTCCACTGGAGTTTGCCTAGGAACATAGCAAGCAGGATTTACACCAAGTAGAGCAGCGGAGATGAGAGCAAAGAGTTCTGGGAAGACTTTGAGTCTGTTATGCTCCTTTGGTGACAGATTACAGATGTTGTCATGGTTACTCAGGTACAGTCCACAAAGAGCATATTTACCTAGTTAACCCATAGGCACCTAATAACACAGTAAACTTATAGTTTCCCAATTCCATATGGAGGAGTGGTCTCCTCTCACTACAAAGTACTGAACAGATGTAAAGCATTGTTTTGTAATTATAAAACAAATTAATAGGAGATAATTTTACATTTAATGAATACTAATATCAATTTTGATGACCCAAAGTATGTGGTGTTATATCTGTTGGAGCTAAAAGCCTACTATAAAATTATGACAAAACAAGTATTTTGGAATCCTATAAATAAAAGTATACTTATGAAGATCACCAAAGTTTTAAGTGAAATAAAAAGTAAAGAGGAAATTATAGTTCAAGGCACAAATCAGTTTTTAAGGAGAAAAAAATGTTTTAAAGTTCCCTGTCAATCTTCAATAGCTAGCTGGTTTTAAAACCACTCAAACTTAGCTTGATAATAAAACTTTAAATTGTGTTCAGCCATGCTGATATTATATGCAAATGCACAATTCATCATTAAAATGATGGTAATACTCATGAGATTACTAAGAACTAAAGCAACTATTTTAATCTTGCTACTTTTTTTCATTACTGTATGACTTTTGGTCAAATTAAACATTTTATTAAAAGTCCATATGATAATATTCATTATATTTGTATATATATGAATTAAATTTAGTTAAATGACAAAATAATGGAATTCATTTGGCCCACTGATGGTTTTGTGTATAAAAACTTTCATAAGAATAGTAACTTGGGACATCATTTCTGAAGGTTAATTTCTCAATGTATAATATGGGGAAACATGAACCCAAAGAACCATTCAGGGCCACATATAGATTTAAGCTTTTGGCCAAATCAGGCACCTTATATACATCATATTGTATAATGTATTGCTTAACAGTAATATGTACTGTCTGCCTAGTTTGTTTTTCTTATGACTTTTGTCAGCTTTTGTCAGGAGATTTCACTTTGTAAATGCTCTGGCAAATCAATTCTATCCTTCTGGGTCTGTGGGGATGTAATAATGTGACATCTAGAGCTTATCCAGATTAAGTAGAGAACAAATTACTTTTGCTTCTCTGTTGAAGAGGAGAGAAAAATTCTTCATAAGTGCTCAGAGAGTGTCATAATATTCTTTAGAGTAGATTAATCTTAGGGCCACAAGCTCCTAGGAATGTGAGTCTAGGGCAAATCATACTGGTCCTTTCTCATGTTTGCACAGGGGTCAAGTCAGCTTCAAGAAAATCGCCCAAAGGGGAAATCTCCTGATACTCAGGTGAAATAAAAGCCTTCAAAAGAGATCTGCAGCCTCAGGGAACCTGCTTTGATGGCTGGGGTTCCAGTGTTTACTGTCTAATTTTGTGTCAAAATCACTTCTTTTACCCCTTACTGCTTCTCAAGAATCTCTCCTAACCATGAAATTGAGAACAGAAAATCACAAGGCAATCACCCCAGTTATTTAAAATCATAGGGACAACTCTTGGCCAAGGCAAGCTTCCTGGACCATCACAAAGGGCCTCAGATGTGGAGAAGCCCTGGACTTGGTGTAATGCTCCACCCTCTCCATCGTTTAATTCTTAAAACAGTACTTTCTGAACAGGAGCTCCATATATTTATTAATTTGAAGATCTTGTATACAACCCCATGAAACATTTTTAACACAAGAACACAACCCCATTTTTCATTCTTATTGCACTCTTACCGATGATAACAGCACCAAAGAAATTTAGGGATGGAAATTATTACGCTGAAGCTAAAATGAGACTAATTTTCAACAGCAATTAAAATGTAAATACACTGTAGCATTATAATTCAGGGGGACTGTTCTAGAATATTTGTCATTTCTGCTTTCCATGTGGGTTAGAGTATTTTGAGATAAATGCGGTTTTCTAGACCTTTCAAACCAGACATACCATGTAGCTCCAAGGAAGTCACTGTAGGTTATTTTTATTTTTATTTTTTTAAATGAGAAAACTTGGGAGCAGATCAAGGTGTTGAATCATAGCCTATCTGTTAGTATGAAGGAATAGTGCCAGCCAACATGAGGTGAAGATTTTGAGGTTTTGAGGGTTTTTTTTTTGTTTTTTGGTATTGGGGATGGAACTCAGGACTTTGCACTTTCGAGGCAGAGAGTGGAACCACTGAGCTAAATCCCTGGCCCCTGAAGATTTTGAGGATTTTGAAGCATTCCTCTCCTCCCTTTCATCATCCTCTTATCTTACTATATTTGTACCTCTTCTTCCCCATACCAAAAATAGATTCATGGAAAACTTGAATATAAAATCTTCTTCTTCCTCTGCCATGTGATTTGAGCCAAAAATCTAGATCCCATTTCGTGCTTTGTTGACTTTCATGGTTAGCAAGCTGATCATTAATCCTGCTAATTATTATGTGGTACTAACTTATTAAATTATTGCCTTAAGGTGGGATGCCCGTTATTTTAGTATTTAATACCACAAAGTCTTTTTTGGGGGTCTCACTATGTATTTCAGGCTGGTCTCAAACTCACTGTGATCCTTCTGCCTCAGCCTCCGGAGTTATGGGATTACAGGCACACACTACCACTGCCAGCTGCTAAGTCTTAAAGACACAAAGATTTCTAAATCTAAATTTCCCCTGGGCCTATCACAAAGCCCACTGACAAGCCAGTGGGTGCTTCCTGAAGACCTTTAACTGTACCAGCATCTAGCTCTGAATCTGAGAGCTGTGGTGAGGCCACGTGTGGCCAAAGACAGAAGAAAACATCCAGCTGTTTCCTTCATCCATGCTCAACTTGACTAGGTCAGTAGCTCATCCACATGACTATTCAGATCTTGTCATGCTGTTCCGCTCAGTGCAATGCTAACATACAGAAAATGTAACATACTTTACATCACCCACTATTCTTCCTTCATCCCTCTTGCTGACTTTGCTTCCTAGGTCATAGAAAACAGAAGTAATCCCAAGCAAACTTTCACAAGCTTGTACATCTCCCTCTTGCCAGCAACTGCACTCCCACAGAGTCTTCTGCCTCCTTTCCTTACAATGAATTGTCCAGTTTAAGGCCACCGAATCCCATCATCACTCATCTGCTCAGGTCTTTACTCCAAGGATTCACTCCTCACTTTGGGAAGACTCTCATCTACATGCAAATTTACTGTTACTTCTCTTGCCTTAAAAAATGGTAACCACCGCCTCTCTGGACCCCACATTTCATTTGCAATACTGTCCATTTCTATTTCCCTTCCCATCAAAACCACTTGAAAAAACTTATCCTTGCTGTTTCAACATCTTTTCTCCCATTCATCATTAACCTGCTATCATCAAGTTTTCATGCCAAGTCACTCCACCAAAGCTGCTTCTGTTAAGTTCACCAGTGACTTTCATATTGTTCAACCCAGTGGTTTATCCCAGACTTTCTATTGTCTGACCTCTTGCCACATTTGAGACAGTTCATCACTCCCTTCTTGAAATACTCTCTTTGTGTGGGACTTCATGCTGTCCTGATGTTCTTCCTACCTCATGCTATTCCTTCTCCTCTCCCTTGCTGACTTTCCCCACCTCAGGTACTGTGCCCTCTGCCCAGATGGCTCTTCCCCCAGCTATCTGCACAGAATGTTTGCCTCTTCGTGTTTCTGTTCAAATATCACTTTCTTGCTGAGGCCTCTCTCACAACGCCCTTTCCTATCCATCTTCTTTCAATTTTCTTTCTCCGTGGCACTCGTTTTTTAACCATAATTTAAAAAAAAATTTTCCACCCATTTCCCTCACTTCCAGAATGTACGCTCCAAGAGGGATGGAATCCCTTGTTACTTGATGTACCTTCAGTTCTCAGGTCAACACCTAGAGCCACAGAGGGAGCTTGAGAACCATTTGCTAAATGTATAATATATCTATTAGGAGCACAGCCTATCCACGGTCTTCAGAAAACCAGTTTTCCAAAGACAGGGGTCATATTTACAACTAAGGATGTCTCTTTCTTCAGCTGTTTCACAAGACTGTAGGAATGCTTGAAGGCAGCGTAGGTGTGTAGGTGCATGGTGGGCCAAGTATTCATCATGACCCCTTCCTTGTCTGGTCAAACCACTGACCTTTGTCCTTTAACTGCACTTGTGAAACAGATATAAAATGCAGAACTTTTACTACTTGTTCACGTGCAGTTTTAAAAATTCATTATTATATATTCGTTTTCCATGTAATGCCACTTTTTAATGGTATTATAAAAATTAAGCTTAGGACTTACTACCAAGAAAATAGTCAAGATTAGTGTATTATCTCTTGCATTTATTCCACATTTTAGTCATATCAGGTAACTTCACATGTAAAATAAATAATTGCAGCCTATCACAGTAATACATTTTGCCTTCCTCAGAGGTTGTAGCAAAAAAGTTATTTCTGGAAATGCTTATGTAGAGCATAGCAATCCACTGTCATACTGAGAATACTTGCAGGCTGCTTTCGAGAAACAATGCCTAAGTCTACCAAGCAAGACGATACATTTGAGAAAATGTGAGCAAATATCTGAGAATGTGCAACTGTATTCTCCCAGTCCTCATGCAGAAAAGAGCAAACTGCTCAAGTTATTCATCCCCCTTCCCCAATTATAACACTAAGAAATATGAGAAAAATTTGTAAAATTTATTCGCAAAGCAGAAGTTGAGATGAATAAAACATCTGGCATTGGCATCTTGCCTCTGAATTTGATTTATAAAAAATCAGTGAGATCAATCTTCTGTATTTTGCTATTTCTCTTGGGGAATGATTAAGAGTCTTTTTACAATAGTAATAAAACTTCAGATTTTGATATCATTTATTACAGTATCGCTTGGAATTCTGAAATGGTTCTGTCAGGGGTGATCTGGGCACTTCTGGACTTGACATATGATAATAGTTGGGTAACCGAATGTCGTAGTGGTATTTTTTCCCAATGTATACCCTGTCATTCAAGGCATACAGTTTATCTGCTATGTCACTGCCAATTAAAACTGAAAACAGGCGGGAGATGTAACGGTGCTGAGCAAAAAGCAAATATAATTTCTTTCTCCTCCAAGACACGTATCGGCAATCAGTTTCTGCTGTGAGGGTTACCTAAAAAAAATAAGACACATACAGATAAAGATTAATTAGTAGGCAAGAAATCCAATCACATTTTTTCTGCCCCAAAGTTTAAATGAGTTTCATTTGGTGCCTTTTTTAGCTTGAAAAATCCCCGACCCAGAATACATTGTAAAACAACAAAAAAGAAATGAGTTTATTACTACATATATAATTTATAATACATATGAAATGACATATAATTTTATTACTACATATATAATCTATAATAATCATAATGTTGAGGTCCCTGGTGCGACTCACCTCCCACTGCCTATACAGGCAGTCTATTGGACTATGCATCCTTCTGTTTCACATCCCACTGCCTGACCAGTGCTTCCTGGGATCCAATAAACAATTTGCACTCCAAAAAGAAAATGACCTTCATCATAATGTTGTGCCTATTTCCAGTTTACTTGTTTGTTTGGGTACTTGATATTAAAACATCACATAATGATGGTTAACATTAGAAAACTATATACAAGTCAATTCTGAGACTGTGGACCTTTAATTCAGTTTCCATAATACTAAAAAGAATTTATATGCCTATTTTGCATATGTATATGAATTTATATTTGTAAACATATATATGTATTAATTCACAGGAAAATACAGCTACTAAATAGAACCTACTGAAACAATTATCTTTCAAAACTACTAGATATGACACCACAGTAGTAACATAAGCTTAGCATTCTATTGCTAGAAAATAACAGATTTTTTTTTTTGTACCGGGGATCAAACGCAGGACCTTGCGCTTGCATGGCAGGCACGGAGCCACTGAGCTAAATCCCCAGCGCCCAGTGATTATATTTTAATTCCAACATACAGTTACACAAAGAGAGCTGAAGAATATTTACCACAGATTCTTTCTTATTATTTAAGAGGCATGATCAAAAAATATGGTGAAATTTAGATTTAAAAAATATTTTAATTTTAATTTAGTACATGGTGAGAGATATGGGTCTAGATTCAATGTTCTGCATATAAAATTGAAAGAGAAAATCTAGTCAAATTAATTTCAATTTCATCTGAATTGCAAATAAAAACTTTGCAACAAAAAAAATATTTATTATAGTCTTTAGTTGCACTGTCCTGGCTTCCTTGATGTCCCGAATCCATTCAGAATGGTTGCCTCTCATGATCATTCATTTTAACTTTGGGGAAGAACCAGAAGTAGGTGGAGTATTTTGAGGGGGATCAATGGCAATGGGTCTTTTACTGTAATAGATTTTTAAAATTTAAGCTTTCACTGTGTATTTTGATCACAGCACATATATTTGTTTTCCTCACTGTAAATAAAAACATGGCATTAATTGGCAGGAGTCAAAGAGAATTTGGCAGTCATGCATGTTTCTAAGTACAACCCAAAGTTAAGTATAAATTCTTCTCATGTTATTTTCTGTTCTATTTGTTTGTTTGCTGGTTTAAGCAAACATTGTTTATGTTTGTAGGAGGGAGCATTAACTGGGTAGTCTAGTTATTCCTTACCTGAAAAATGCCTTCTTCTGTGGGTCTCAGTGAATCCCACTCAGGAGAATCCAGAAATTGAAAGGGGAAAATGTAGTGCAGAAATTCACCATCAACTGTCACTCTGATCCTATCAAAATATAAGAACATCATTTATGGAGAAAAGAGAGAGTACATAATAGAATGGGGAAGTAGGAAGGGAAATGTACTTCAGATCTGATGACCTTTTTGTCCTTTAGAATTCTGAAGGACAAAATATTAAATCAATTCAACATTACAATGAATGACACAATATCCTATGAGATTCATGTACTGCTGTTCTTCACCAAGGAATCTAGACTATTCAGTGAAACTCACCAGAAAATTCACATAGCACATTTATAATATGTGTCCATTTATGTGTGCATAATTCTATAAAAATTTCAATACATTCAGTCAAGACTTTTAAATTAAGCAAGAGAACATTTAAGAACATACAGAAGATCTGCTATGTACACTGAAGTTTTAACTTTTAAAAAATATTAATAAATATACTGTTGTTTCCTCCCTCAACATTTAGATTTCTATTTATATTCTTGAGGTTCTCCTTCCTGCTTCCAATAAATGGGCAAATGCTAAAACTTACTGAATAAATTTGATAATTATAAAATTGAAAGGTCTCTGATATAAGAATGCTCTATCAAAGAGTCTATTTAAAATAATTTACACACCAGCATAAGTATTCTTTTAATTGAAGCTGGCATCATACATGTCTTGACTTTCAGTAATTAGCTAGGGAACAAATATCATATCCAGATAAATTCATACTTTAGTTTGAAGTTTCACATCATTTAATTTCTAAGACAAAAAAGTAAGAGTCTAGATTACTTTCGGCTCCAAGTAAATAATTCCATGTACTCTAAATCCATGATATCTGTTTCATAGATTTTCCCAAGGGTGCTAAATGCCACCCAGGATTGTGCTCTACTCAGATGAGTGACTAGAAGGAAACACAAATAATTAACACAGAGGAAAGATATGCAAGCCCAAGGGTACAGACCTTCCTGAGACAAGCAGGGAGAGTTTATCAATGGAGGTTTTCCCCTGCATGGCATAACAGTGCTCCTTTTCCAGAGTAACCACTTCAGAGCTCAAAGCAATTGTTCTGAAGACAGGCAAAGAGATCCCCAGGGGCTGGAAAAGGGAGCTGTACAGCACCTGGAATTCTCGGGCAAAAGTTATGCTGCGAACTTGATATGCAATATGAACAAATTGCATGAAGCAGATGACAAACAGTACAAAATTCCAGGAAAATATGTCAGCAGCACAGACATCTACCCATGCCCACACTGCAGAGCAGAGAAAACCCAGCCCCAGAAGACTGAAGACATAAAGGAGCCCGAAGAATCCACTGCCACCCATGAAACCTACTACAAATAAAATACTGGCAAGATGATAAATGGCTCCTTCGGCCTCTGGCTTCCAGGTTGTACAGACTGGGTGCTCATCTATTAGGTTCTTCCATAAACTTGAATTCTTTTCCATGGCTGTACTACTGTCTGGTTTCATTTTCAAATGACTTTAGATGCTATGAAGCAAGTAATTAAGGCTTTTGCTTTTCCATCATCAGAGTTTTGCTCCATCTTCACAAAACCAGAGGGAGCCTAGATGTCAGCATTGGCAGGGATTAAAGGTTCCGTGGGTACAGATCTTGAAAAACTAAGAATCCCATGTTAATTTCAAGTTCATTCATCCAGGCTTCTGATTTAGACCTTGTCCAAAAATATTCTGCTATTTCCTGTGCAAAAAAAAAAAAGGATAAACGATCTAATTAAACCAGAAGAATGAAGAAGTACTGTATTTAATGACCCAACAACATTACTTATGCAGTGACCTCCTATTTTCTATGGAGTTAAGATATTTTAAGTACAAATGCTGCCAAGTGTTAATTAAATTTCTATCATAGAAAAGCATTTTTATTAGAATTAGCTAGCTACCTATTTTTCAGGGTAGCCGAGTGCTCTATAATCAGCTAGTCTCTACAGCAGTGTTCAGTGCCCCAGAGTCACTTGAGAAAATAACTAAAACTGTAGCTTCACAGGCTATTTGTAGATACACTTAATCAGAATTGCTCAGTGCAGGGTCCAGGTGTTTGAATTCTGAGCAAGTTCCTTATGTGATGTGATGGATGAACTCATGATCCTCCATGGCCTACCCACTTGAGGGTGACTAGCTGATGCTACGTTATTCATTCTTTACACATGAAGCACTTGAGGCTCAGAGACACCAAGTGATTTATCTGAGGACACACAGAGGTCAGTCACAGAGCAGAACTTTGGCACTTGGCCCTCATGTGCTGGATCTGAATATGAAAGATGTTTTAAATGTGACGGTGAAAGGAGCTCTAGTGAGTCCATAAACATAAGAAACACATAATTACGAGTCAGAGTTCAAGAACACATAATATACTATGAAAATGTCTAATTGACTTAAATTGTTTGAAAAATAAAGTTAGTATTATTTTGTAGTATTAGTGGTTATTTCAGGTTAAAGGTTGCATCCATATAACTAAATACTAATTCTCCTGCTACTTAGATATTTATTTAGCAGATGGTCGAAAATGTTACTGACTCTGTTCTTCTGCACATATATTCTCTACCCTTTCAGCCATATGGTAAAAATGCTAATATGTGATCTGAGTCAGGAGAGAATTAGCCAGATAACAGGGCTGTGGGATATATGCATCATTTACCATTAGCTTTCCTAAACAATAAATGGTTGCAACTTAAAGGATTGATTAGGTTTATTTTTTAAAAATGTAATAACATTCAAAAGCCTTGAACTTGTGTGCTATATTTAGTGATTTATTTTTGAAATAGATTATTTCCAGAACACCTGTTAATAAAGTATCCGATATCATAGAGCTTGTCCCATAGAAATAAAACAGTACACATACAGAGGTGAAAATGACTTAGCAGGAATAAAAAGAGAGCCGTGTAATCACTCACTGAACTAGAAATAGAAATAAATAGGCTGCTGCTGTTGAAGTTTCTAGTTCTTCTTCTTAGTGATTCTTTTTCCCAGCAAGTAATAACTATAAGAACATCACCAGGATAATTAGGATGAAAGGAAAAGGGAAGAATGAAGGACAGAGGGAGAAAAGATTACTTAGACCTACAACTTACAGTCATATTTGGTATTTGTACATGTTCTCAAATACATTTAGAGTATTATGTGGATTCCTGATTATTCTCCTCCCCATCCCATCTGTGAGATTTTGAGATTGCAAGTTTTTCTCTTCTAAACAGTATACAAAATTCTACACAATCTGATTGTCACAACAAAGAAATGTCTTTAAAAATGCAATAAGTAGTAAGAACTATGAAATGCCAATCTGCAAATGTCAGTCTCCCTGCTGTTTTACTTTTAAAACTAGGGTATTTTAAATCAATCAATTCTTCAGGACACTGAATATAGCCAGTATTCAAAAGAATTGCTATCAGAGCTCTGAACTTTGGTTTGAACTTACTTAAAAATTTATAATCCTCAATAAAATGTTAAAATGAAGTTAATAGGGAAAGGCTATGTAAAATGTTTGTGCTAATTCAGAAGGAAACTTATGGAAATCTTGTAGTCTTACAAATCTTGATCGGGGATATATTGGGGGCCCTACATTACAGAACTGTGATCCAGTAGGATGTAAGAGGAACTGTGCTTCCAGCCCAGCCCTTCCCAGTCTACTTCTGACTCGTTAAGCTGTTACCAAACCATCTTTCTATCCTTGACACTGTATTGCTCAAGCATGCTGACTTGCCCTCATTAAATTATTCCACACCCAGTCTTTTTGTACTTGGTGTGTTTTTATTCCATCACCAAAACAGATGCACTTTATTAGAAGAGGGAGAACTGACAGGGGCAGGTGATGAGCAGGAGCAGTCCTCTGATAAGTGCCAGCAGCACTGCAAGAATGTTGAACATGATTCATCAAGCAACTGCCAGCCTTGAAGGCCCTTAAGGCCTTAAGTCATGTTTGTGTGTAAATAAATGCTGAAATGCCAAAGGGGCACAATGGATCTTTTCCCACAGCAAAAAAGTTGATCTTTCCTGTGAAAGAAGGTAGCACAATGAGCTACAAATGATGGAGACAAAATCCAGTGCAAATTAAGACAATGGTTCCAAGATCATGCCCCCCTTTTCTTTCTTTTTATAATTGTAAGACTGTGAGTTATAAAGGAATAGAAAATGTAAAGAAGATACAAAGATGTTCAGTGAAAGGTAATATAAACCTGGTAGCAAATTGATGATTAGCTCAGAAACTGCACTTATCTGCTCAGAACTTTTACATTTATTAGCTCATTGTATCACACTCATTGCCCACAGGAGGCAGAATCTAAATCATCTTGCCCAGCTTACAAATGAGAAAAGCAGGATGCAGACTGGTGAAGTCCCTGGATTGAGGTAAACAAGTGATGTGATATGTCACATCCAGCCGGATGGAAGCTCTAATCCCCTCTACCCAGCCTCATCCTGGCCAGCAGGCAAAGCTGCCTCTCAGGGCTGTGAATCAAGCTGTATGAATGTACTAGGAAACTAAGTAGGATATTCCTTCAGGACTGGTTAGTCAGGAAAATAAAAACCTTATCGATGGATATTTGAGACTTGTCCCTTTGTAATGCTCAATCCATAATGCTTAGAATACTGCTGGAGACACAGATAACCACTCATGAGATAATTTGCTATATTATTGTTTAACACTGACTGATTTCTCTCTTGGACACTGAAATTCTAAAGGGCATCAGGGGCAAAGACAAATGGTTTTATGTGCCTGACTCCTGGCACTCACTGAATGTTGACTGAATACCTGGGGATACAAGTGCAAGCACTCTTACCTTCTCCATCCCCCATCTCCCACATAGGAGGTTCTAACATCTTTTGTCCCTTAGGGGAATAGAAGTGGGGAGAATACATACTTTCAAGATATTTTCATATATATACACAGAAAACTTGGGGTATCAGTTTTTCAAAATCTTTGGCACATCCCCAAATTCACAGGGGAATCTTTTTGTCTGCTTACAAACTTGAGCTTAAGAGCAGTTTAATTACTGCTTTGATTAAAAACAACAACTCTGGTAACGAGTGGTATTGAGTAAGTTTTGGTTGCTAGGCAACCCACCAGCTCAAAATTCTATCAATATTCTACTCATTAATTAGTATCAGATCCCAACTTCAGTATGTGTTTCATATACTAAATCCTCATCTTCTTAAACTTTTTTTTCTGCTTAATCCTCAAGGTGGTCAATTTACTCAAGTATATGAAGTATATGTCAGACATATTTTACAAATTATCCCATTTAACAACCCATGAGGAAGGTATTATTATCTGCATTTTACAGATGAAAAAATTGAAATTCAGAGAAAGTAAAGAAGTTGTTCAAGGTCACTCTGCTTACAATGGAACTAAGATCCCATCCATGTATGTTTATTCCCCAAAGTTCACAGTCTATATCATATTATTTTGTTTCCACTATGCAGTACAACATAGATTTAGCAAATGTGTAGACCTTAGTCTCCTTGGTGTTACCTAGGTGAACATGGGTATGTTTACTCAAATCGGTAAAATACAGGAAATATCACCTCTTCAATTCACTTTAAATGGTACTAGAAAGATCAAAAGAGAAAATTATTTGAAAGTGATTGAAAGTCTTTAAACATTTTAAAATAATACAGAAATAGCATCACTATACTTATTGCTTGAATGTTACAGAGCTGGAGCAGTGGGAGAGTATATAAAAATTCTTCTTAACCCCAGATGATTACAACTGAAGACACACATGAAGATGAACCATTTTGGTTGCTATCAATCTTTAAATTGGAAATTGTAAATTTACTCAGCCTTGCCAGGGTGATCTCTGTGATTCTCCCCTATCTGTCCCATATTCTGACCTCCTATTGATGGTAGATATAGACCAATAACCAACTCACTTATCTTCACTTTCTAGAGGTCAGAGAGCCAGTCTCTGGAAGTCAACAGTGATGTTCTACCATACATGTGTACATATAATGGTTCTCATTAGATGTTCTCAAATCATTTACATCAGAATCAACTTGGCCCTTCTCAGATCTCCCTTGGAATAACTTAGCCAGACTCTCTGGGGTAGGACCCAGAAGATCCCTCTCTAAGAAGCCCTTGGTTGATTTTCATGCACACTGAGCTTGGAGAGCCATTATTTTATGTTGCCCCTGAATGATCTCTGAATTATCCTTGTCTGTCGGACCTCAGCTCTGTCTGTTCCTAGCGGGCCAGAATCCATGTGGATTACTCTGTGTGATGCTCTTTGGTTCCAGCTGTCTGTCATTGGGGGTCATGTGGTGTGAGCTCACCACCCTGTCCTCTGGGCTAGATAACTTGCATTCCTGCCTTCAAGAAGGCTCCTAGTCTTAGCTGTGCCCCTCAATAGCTGGCTGATTGTAACGTTCCTACACCTAGTCGCTCACTAGTAAATGAGGAAAGACAATTTACCGCTAAGGTAACATGAGTCTTTATTACATGGAGTGGAAGATTATTCCAAACATGGGTGAAAATACAGAGCTGGGTAGCAGAGCTGACCGCAGGTCTTGACACCACATTTATGACTGAAGCCAGATTCAGAGACTGTTGCTTAATTGGCCTATTGTGTGGTCCAGGTGTTGGCTTTTTTCCCCCCACAAACTTCCCCAGGATTCTGATGTGCAACTAGGGTTAAGAATTATGAGCCAGGGCTGGGCATTTAGCTTAGTGGCACCATGCCTGCCTCACAA